CAAAGAACATGAAGAAATAGAATCCCACTATGGGCCTGCGAGAAAAATCGCGAGACTCTTAAGCAGACTCAATGAGTAACCCAGGCCCACAGGCCCGGAGCAGCCTCCCTCCCCACTGGCAGCCACTGTCACATGAGGAATGCAAATCAGTATCCTATTTTATGTCTTTATCACGAACGCCATATTTGAGTACAAAGGGCACTTACAAATATGTACAGAAAATGGAATGAAAAGCTTCTTTTGGTGCACTTTTTCAAATGTGAGATCAACTCCTGCACAGTTACAACGTGTGTTTTCCATAAACTTTTTTTTAAACCCCTGTATATACATATCTAATTTTTTTTTTCCAACCAAGACAAATTTTTAACAGATCCATTTTCAGGGCTGGCATTGTGGTGCAGCAAGCTGGACTGCTCCTGTCTAGTGCAGCACCCCATAGCAGAGAGCTGCATTGTGACTTAGCTGCACTGCTTCTAACCTGGCTTCCTGCTAATGTGCTTGGGAAGGCAGCAAAGGATGGCCCAACTATTGGGCCTCTGCCATTCATGTGGGAAACAAGGATCCTGGTTTAGCTCAGCCCATTTTTTTTTTTAAGATTTATTTATTTATTTATTTATTTTTATTGGAAAGGCGGATGTACAGAGAGGAGAGACAGAGAGGAAGATCTTCCGTCCAATGATTCACTCCCCAACTGAGCGCAATGGCCAATGCTATGCCGATCCGAAGCCAGGAGCCTCTTCCGGGTCTCCCACGCGGGTGCAGGGTCCTAAAGCTTTGAGCCGTCTTCGACTGCTTTCCTGGGCCACAGGCAGTGAGCTGGAAGGGAAGCAGGGCTGCCAGGATTAGAACCCGCACCCATATGGGATCCTGGCATGTTCAAGACAAGGACTTAAGCCGTGAGGCCACCACACCAGGCCCATAAATCTATCTTTTAAAAGGATAACCTTAGGAACAGAAAAAAAAAAATTTCCACAAAATTTTTGAATTATCCTCCCTTATAACATTAGTTTCTGTAGTATATTAAATATTTATTAATGCAGTCATACTTTCCTAGTGCATTAACATTTTAAAATCTTCATTTGTTTGTTTTTATTTGAAATGGAGAGAGAAACAGAGACAGAGAGGAACAGACAGAGATATCATTAAGTTGCACCCCAAATGCCCACCATAACCTGGGCAAGCCAGGCTGGAGCAAGCAGTCGGGTACTCACTGGAGTCTCCCACGTAGGTGACCAGGCCCCAATTACTCCAGCCACTGCCTGCTGCTTATGCACATTAAGAGGAAGCTGGACTTGGGACTGGAGCCAGAGCTCAGACCTAAGCACTCCAACAGACGGCACAAGCATGTCTGCTAGGATCCTCATCGCCACGCCAAATGTCCATCCTTGAACTCATTCTCAATGTCTAATTGAGATTTTCTTGCATGCACCAGGATCCCATATGGGCACGAGTTCATGTCCCAAATGCTCCATTTCATATCCAGCCCCCTGCTTGTGGCCTGAGAAAGCAGTTGCAGATGGCCCAAGGTCTTGGAATCCTGTACCCACATGGGAGACCCAGAGGAAGCTCTTGGCTCCTGGCTTCAAATCAGCTCAGCAGCAGTCATTGTAGCCACTTGGGGAATGAGCCAGCAGACAGAAGATCTTTCTCTCTGTCTCTCCTTTTCTGTCTATAAATCTTACTTTCCAAGAAAAATAAATAAATCTTTTTTTAAAAATTTCTCTATGTTGAATTGTATAAATTTGGTGCATTTATTTAAACTGCTGTATAAAATTCAATGGTATGATCTATTTTTCCATTTTATAAACAAAGAGACTTTTTCCCATTTTTTTAATTACTAGTAGCACGACATTATAAACATACTCGGGAGATTTCTTGGCAGTCTTTCTCAATGGACGTTAGCAGCACAAATAATCACAATGCAACCGTTATAACAGAGTAACTTCTCCCTAGAAGAATCCACTGCTTTCTAGAATACTGCCAGTTATGTACCATCCTTGGGACGCGTGAGAAAATAGTCATTCTAATAGTTTTATGTGCTGTAAGGTTCAGAAGAAGAATCTCAGTTGAGATTCCTTTTGAAATGCAAACTAGAAGTGGACTCCAGGGTCTTAGACTGTGGACATTTGCAACTCTTTCACATAATTAGCAGATGATTCGCCAAAACGGAATCTTTAATCCACACTTTTGCTGGATTCGCATGAAAATTCTCATCTTCCTACACCTTTAAGCAATGCTTGCTATTGTCACAGACTTCATTTTTTTCTTTCCTTTTTTAAAAGATTTATTTGTTACTTGAAAGAGTTATACAGAGAGAGGGAAAAATGGAGAAGAGAGATTTTCCCATCCACTGGTTCACTCTCTGGACGATCCCAATAGCCAACACGGAGCCAGACAAAACCAGCAGGCTCCTCCCGGTTTACCACATGAGTGCAGGGGCCCAAACATGTGGGCCATCTTCTAGTGATTTTCCTAGGCCATTAGCAGGGAGCTGGATTGGAAGTAGAGCATCTGGGACTCGAACAGGCATCACATAGGATGCGAGCCTCGTAGGTGGTGGCTTCATCAGCTATGTCACAATCTTGGTCCTCAGAGCCTTTATGTTTAGCCAGATGTTTGGACATGAAATAACACCTTAATGTTAACGTGTATGTGCATGATTACTAGTGAATTTGAGCATTTTCTCACATTTGACTGTTCAGTTTCTTTGTGAATTACTTGTTTGGCTTCTTTACACGTTTCTCTGCTGTGTTGTGCATCCCTTTTCTGTGGATTTGCAATATTTCTTTATATTCATACAATCTAAATGTAATGCTTCATGTATTACGTATTTGGTCATCTCCAGGTGACTCTAGTGTGTCTTCCACAAATGCGTCACCCACAACTACCACTCAAGTAGTTTCTATCTCTTTAAAAAAATAAACGTATTCTTTTTATTTGAAAGGTACAGTCACAGATGGAGAGACTGAGAGAGATCGTCCATCCATTGACTCAGCCCCTAAATGTCCACAATAGCCAAAGTTGAGCTGATCCAAAGCCAGGAGCCAGGAGAATCTTCTGGGTCTTCCCACATGGGTGCAGGAGCCCAAGAAGTTGAGCTATCTCCCACTGTTTTCCTAGGCCATAGGAAGGGAGTTGGATCATAGTGGAGCAGCTGGGCCTCAAACCAGTGCCCATATAGGTTGCCAACACCACAGGCAGAGGATCAGCCCATGGTACCACCACACAGGCCGCTTACCTCCGTAACTGTATTCCTGTGTCATGACTACGCACCTGTCTGTCTAAAGCTTAGCAATATTGAATCAAGCTACAAAGACTTCTACCACAGACATCAAGGTACTTTATGCATTCCTTCTATATCCCTAAGTAATGCCTTTCGTGCAGTATATTCAGAGTTTGCTTAAATTGTGTGGAACATTTGAACGGCCAGATCTAGCCCAAGTTGTGTTGGTGACCCAAAGTTGAACCTGTCTGAACCCCTTCTTCCTAAAGCCTGCCTTTGACCAAGTGGGCAACAGGGTTGTGTAAAACAAGGAAGCCAGTCCTTCTGGGGGAACTGGATTTGTGGTCACTCTGGCAAACATGGCTGGGCACTCAATAGTGCCCTGTGCTCATGAATCAGCATTACTGTCTTGCAAAGGGACCATCAGTTTAAAAGACGATTTCAAAGCGCAAAAATACGGTGGTGATTACAGAAGTAGTGGAGTGGCAAAATTCTTCTGATGGAAACAAACCCCAGGGCAAGGTTGTGGAAGGAACGTGAAATTATTGGTGCATTTTTTTTTTCTTTCTCTGCTCTCCAAATATTTTATGATGATTTTATAAAATAGTAATTCTAAGAAAGTCATAACGAAAACTCAAAACCCAAAACAGACCCCATTGTGACATTTCTGAAGCATGGAGACATTCACTCAAGTGGGCACAGAAAGCAAAGGCGGAAAAGCAAGGGTCTTTCCCACTTGGTAAGGTTTTCAGAGTCAACCTGAAAGTGCTAGAAAACTGCAGGCTTTCCCCAGGTTGTGGGGGAGGAAGTGGCCAAATGCCCTGAGAGAGAAACGCAGAGAAAAAGGTAGGGGTGCCGAAGGAAGAGGGAGAGAACGCAGTGAGGAAGGAAAACGGTGGTGTTGCCAAGTGAGTCCCAGAACCAAAAGTAAAGCTTGACAAAAACCTCCCAAACTGTTGGGGCTGTGCAGAGGCAAGGCCGTGATGAGGAGATGACTCAGAGCAGGTGAGAACACACCACGTGTCGGGTGTGGGTGACAGTTCAAACCCCCCCCCCCCACTCCCGGCCATAAGTTCTGCTCAGCTTGCTAAGGTTTTGTGTGGAATAGAACCTCACAAGGAAACCCTTCTCCATGTTTATCACTACAGCAGCTGTTGGGCTCCTGTTTTTTAATGATGACGTCTGGAGGGGAAGACAAACCTCATGATATAAAATGAAAAAGAATGCAGTGTAAGATTTTTCTACTATGAGACCATTAAAAAAAAAAAAATTCACAGAGGAGCCGGTGCTGTGGCATAACATGTCAAGCCTCCACCTGCGACACCAACAGGCTCAGGTCCTCACTGCCCCACTGCTGATCCAGCTCCCTGCTAATGTGTCTAGAAAAGCAGGAGGACGTGATCCAAATCCTTGGGCCCCTGCAACCAAGTGAGAGGCCTTGGAGGAAGCCCCAGGCTGCTAACTTCAGAACAACCCAGCTCTGGCTGTTGGGGTCACGTGGGGAGTGAGGCAACAGACAGCAGAGCTTTCTGTCTTTGTCTCTGCTTCTCTTTCTGTACATCTTCTAAATAACACTAAATAAATAAATAAGAACTAGATCTCTCGAATAAAAAAGAAATTTTAAAGAAGCTCATGGAAATGAATGTCATGAAAAAAACAGTATAGACTTTAAACTTCTTTCTTTTATGAGAACAAACGTTTTCATTCCATTTCCACGAACATTTTGAAGTATCGTTCTCTAGTGTAATTTCAGTTTCATTTTTTACAAAATTCATAGGTTCAGAAAAGTTCGTAGGAGAGCGAATCTGCTGTAAATGGAACCTATCTGGACTTGAAGTTGGAAAAACAAAGGTATAAATAGCTACTTCCCAGCTACCAACTCAGGTAAGCTACTTACATTCTCTGATCCCCAGGCAATTCAACTGCAAAACATGGGGGATGAAGAAAGAATTATTTTAAAAAAAAATTTATTTTTCATGATACAGTTCTGTAGGCTTAGGGATTTTCCCTTCTGCCCACCTTATCTCCCCCTCCCCCACACTGTTTCCTCTGTATTATTATTACTATTAGGTTTGCATTTATTTATTTTTTAAATTCAAACGTCAAGTATACAGAGAGGAGGAGAGACAGAGAGAAAGATCTTCTGTCTGTTGATTCACTCTCCAAGCGGCTACAACAGCCAGAGCTGAGCCAATTTGAAGCCAGGAGCCCAGATCCTCTTCCAGGTCTCCCACGTGGGTGCAGGGTCCCAAGGCTTTGGGCCATCTTCCACTGCTTTCCCAGGCTACAAGCAGGGACTGGATGGGAAGTAGAACTGCCAGGATATGAACCTGTGCCCAAATGGAATCCTGGTGCGTGCAAGCCACTAGGCTACCACACCGGGGCCCTTCCTGTGTATTATAACAATAGTATAGTCCTTCAGCAACAGTCACAAGTACATCATTCTTCCACTTAAGTGTATCATGACATTGTCAGTTATGTACTTGGTAGAGAGTCCAGCAATCCTACTGTCAACATGCATTTAACAGTTTCGTTAAGAGTCCTCTCCAATGAAATCCTCTTAGCGCCCACTTAGGATGGCCACACCCTATGTCAAAGTGTTTGAGTTCAAATTCTGAGTGTTTGAGTTCAATCACATCTTCTTGCTAAGGTAGACCCTGGAAACCAGCAGTAATGGGTCAAATGGTTGAGTTTCAGCCACCGACATGGAAGACCTGAATTGAATTTCCAGCTTCTAGCTTTAATCATTGTAGACAAGGGGGAGTGAACCAGCAATGCGGGCTCTGTCTCTCATGAATTAATTAATTGGAACACTTCAGATGCAGAAAATACTAATATGATGATCTGACTGTTAGTTGGACAGGGGAATGACAGGAGCCAGCTCTGTAGGTCCAGAGCTGTGTAGTCACATGTGGCTCCATACTTGGTTTCCTGATCTACTGTTCCCATCTTGAAATTCTCAAGTTTTGAGCAAAGGAGACCCACATTTCATTGTGTACTGGCCCTTGCAAATGACTTGCATATGCACAGAACTGCTTCCTGGTTAGGTTGTCCAGAAGCTAAAAGACAGAGGGAAAAGATGAATAGGCCATAAACCCCAATGTAAGCACTATCTCTTCCTGGGCAGTTTTAAGGATGAGTTTGGTCTTCTCCATTCTCTTTCCATATGGTCTGTTTCCATAGTAACCAATACGCCTATTCTTAACAGGAATTAAAAAGTGAATACCTCCATGTTCCTTCACAACTTTTTTTTTCATCCTGATCTTGCAGATGAATGAACCCCAGATAACAGAATAGGAAATGACTCACCACAAATCTTGTAGCAATCCAGAACACATTGTAATACTGTTCAGGAAATGGCTCTTCCAATACTGTGCCTTGCTCATTTGTCTTGAATTACCCCGGTTTTCTCTAGCGAGACTCCCTCTGGCCATCTGACTTGGTTTGAGGACCCAGCCTTACACCGTGCTGCTGTGGCGGGGCGGGGGGGATGGGGTTGTCCCTCAGAGGCTCAGAAGGAGCAATGAGGTACAGACTGGCAGGAACTTAGGGCGATGGGAAGTGCAGAGGCAGGAGCTGCCCGTCCTTTTCTCCAAGGGCCTGAAGCAGGTCCTTAACGCTGTGGGTGACTAGCAAGTTCGATTCTCAAAAGTGGGACAGAACTGACAGAGGAGCTGCCAAGATCATGTGGCCTGGAATCGCTTGATATAAGGTTATTTCCAAATGAAAAGTTTTGGAAACTCTGCTTTGTTCAATTTCCCCCCAGCTTCAATATGGAAAACATTGGGAAACAGAGGGAACAGAGGGAAGGGAGAGGGAGTTGAAGTATGCCTGATGGAGGGCCGCACTTTGCATGTTCCACGGCTCCACGAGCTGCAAGGCCTTCTCTGGTGAACTGATGAGCCGGTTGCTGGCTTTCAGGTGACATAGCAGCTCACTCCCACACTGAGATGGTGTTTTTGTTTTTGTTTTTCCCTTCCTGCTCTTTTTATTCACCTTCTCCTCTAGAGCAGAAAGGCTTGGGAACCTAGAAAATTGCATGTTTACACCATCCTTCTTCCTCCAAGCTCCAAACTTAGAATTTAAGTTTCTCTTGGTAGCATAGTAAATCTTCATAGATTAGGGCCCTGCGGCATGGTCTAGAGACTTAAGTCCTTGCCTTGAATGCGCCGGGATCCCATATGGGCGCTGGTTCTAATCCCAGCAGCTCCACTTCCCATCCAGCTCCCTGCTTGTGGACTGGGAAAGCAGTTGAGGACGGCCCAAAGCCTTGGGACCCTGTACCCGTGTGGGAGACGTGGAAGAAGTTCCTGGATCCTGGCTTTGGATCGGCATAGCATCTGCCATTGTGCTCACTTGGGGAGTGAACCATCGGACAGAAGATCTTCCTCTCTGTCTCTCCTCCTCTCTGTATATCTGACTTTCCAATAAAATAAATAAATCTTTAAAAACAATCTTCATAGATTAATATCTGCATTACTGCTACTACTACTACTAGAGAAGAGAAAGTTTCCATGCCGCAGGCTAATGTACCGAATGCCTACAACTGTTGAGATTGGGCCCCAGGGTCTGTAGTAGCAAGAAGGCAGGGTAGAGACCCAGGCTGGGCATTGAACCCAGGCAGAGCATCTTGGAGTTTTAACAGCTAGGCTAAGTGTCTAGCTACGGTCAAGGAACCTGCAGAGAACAACTCTAAACAGGGTTCTCAAGGCTCAGAGTGGAGGCTCTGGACTGAGCGAGAGGAAGACAAAGGAGACTATGGGGAGGGTGCGGCATGCGGAGGGTGCTCGCCTCCCAGGAGGGCGTTCTCCTCTGTGCCAGCCAGGCAGTGTGTCCTGTACCCACAACCTGATGTAACATCATCCTCACAAGCATGCCCATTTCTACCTGGAAGAAAGAAGAACCAAAAACACAGGTAATCAATGCTTATACAATGTACTACACTAAGATTGAAAATCCGGAAGAGGAGGAGAAAGAGGAGTGAGTGCCCAAAGTGAATCAATGGAAAGCCTGGAAAACACTTTTTTAAAAAAAAATCTATTGTGAACTATGGACTTTGGGTCTGCAATCGTGCCAGCGTATGTTCATCACGCAGCAAACATTGCCCTGGTGTGGGCAGGGTAAGGAATGAATCTAAGAAAAGCTCAGTGGTTTTTTTTTTTTGGCTTGATTTTGCTAGTGACCCAAAACAGCTTTAAAAAATAATAATAAAATAAAGTCACTACAACACACAGAGAGAGAAAGCTATCAAGCAGGAGAATCAAGTTCCAAATTGGGTTTCCCAGAAGGAGTGTGAATTACCGGTTGCAAGGATCTAATAAACTCCAGCACGTGGGTAGCAATAGGGAAACAATGACGAGACATGCCTGAGGGTGGGTGTGGGCGTGTGTGTGTGATGTAGTAGCACGTGGAGAACAGAAGAAGGGTTGGAATGGATCGGTGTCTGACATGATGCAATGTGCTCGTTACCCTGATTTGATAATACATATGCTGCCACCTCGCATGGTACCCCATGAATATGTGCTCATTTCTAAAGGCCAGAATTATTTTCAGAAAGGAATTGGAAGCACGACATCTTGAGTTGAGTCCCGGGTCCATCCCAGTTGTGTGATCCTGAGCCAGTCGCTTTGGCTTTGGATTAGTGCGAGGGGGGTCAAATAGAGTCACAGCTACGCAAAGAAGAGTGGCCCTGGAAGGAGCTACTTCTCAACTGCTGTTATACACACTGACAAGCACACATACGCATCATTAAGTAGGAAACCAGGAAACTTGCTTCCTAAGCCTCTGATTCAGGGGCGGCTGTGGTGGTGTAGTGAGTTAAGCCACCTCTAACCCACCAGTATCTTACATGAGCACTGGTTCAAGTCCTTGTGGCAACACTTCCAATCCAGCTTCCTGCTAAGGTGCTGGTAAAATGGCAGAAGATGGCCCAAGTTCTTAGGCCCCTGCCACCCACATGGGAGAACCAGAAGGAGCACCTAACTTCTAGCTTTGGCCTTGCCCAGCCCTGACCTATGTGGTAACTCAGAAAGTGAACCATCAGAGGGATGGAAGATCCCTTGCTTTGTCTGTCTCTCCTCTGCCTGCAATTCTGCATTCCAAAGAAAAGAAAGATAAATCTTCAAAAACAAACCAACACAAAAAGAGCTTCTGCGCCACCAGCACTAAGCTGCCTCTGTCAGCTGTGAGAAGTGGTTGAACGGGTATTTGCACATTGAGCTTTCTAGCTCTAATTTCCACCTGCTAATCCCCCATCCCCACACCCCCAGACACACTTTCTGGCTTTTCCCATGCCCCGATCCTGAGCTCACCAAGATGCCCCATGTGTCAGGATCCATCTGCTGCTGGGTGGATTGCTGTATTTTTGCCTTTGTTTCTTTGAGAGGCACGTAGGGCCGGGAGAGCACGTTGGGGAAGTTGAGGAAGGGGTCCCTTCTGCTGCTTTACTCCCGGAGTGCCCAGAAGCTAGAAATTCATACCAAGTCTCCCACATGAGTGGAAAGAATCCAGTTACTTGAGCCATCACTGCAGCTTTCCAGAAAACACAGAGCAGGAACCTGGTATCCAGAATACACAGAGCAGGAACATGGCATCTTAAGTGTAGCCAGGACTCGAACCCAGGCACTCCAATATGAGAGGGGGCATCCCCTCGCTAAGCAAGCATCTGCCCCTTGCATGTGCTTTGTAAACCATCTTGTCTTTTTTTTCCCCTTTTTTTCATATGTCACTTCAAGATTTGGGGGAAAAAAGAAACCCACACAGTTCTAGGTGGCTTGTGACTACTTCCTTAACCCAACCGGAGACCCTTCGAGGCTTGGAAACCATGACCTTGACCAAAATTCTAGTGGCTCCCAAGAGGTACCTCAAGGGTACGGTTGAGAAAT